ATAAGACCTTGTGTATCATATCTTGTGTAGGTAGATTAATGTAGTGTTAGTTATATCATCTTCCCTGTATAAGACCCATTACTGCTTGTATCTCTTTAGGTAGATTAATGTATTGGTAGTTATATCATCTTCCCTATATAAGATCTGTTACTGTGTGGATCTCTTTAAGTACATTAATGTATTGGTAGTTATATCATATTCCCTGTATAAGACCTGTTACTGTGTGGATCTCTTTAGGTAGATTAATGTAGTGTTACTTATATTATCTTCCCTATATAAGACCTGTTACTGTGTGGATCTCTTTAGATAGATTAATGTAGTGTTAGTTATATCACCTTCACTATATAAGACCTGCTACTGTGTTGATCTCTTTAGGTAGATTAATGTAGTGGTAGTTATATCGTCGTCCCTATATAAGACCTGTTACTATGTGGATCTCTTTAGGTAGATTAATGTAGTGGTAGTTATATCATCTTCCCTATATAAGACCTGTTACTGTGTGGATCTTTTTAAGTACATTAATGTATTGGTAGTTATATCATCTTCCCTGTATAAGACCCATTACTGTGTGGAACTCTTTAGGTAGATTAATGTAGTGTTAGTTATATCATCTTCCCTATATAAGACCTTGTGTATCATATCTTGTGTAGGACTACATTAATCTAATAGGGAAGATGATATAACTAACACACAGTAACAGGTCTTATCTATCTAAAGAGATCCATTAAAGTAGTGTTAGTTATATTATCTTCCCTATATAAGACCTGTTACTGTGTGGATCTCTTTAGAACCATTGAAGATCCAGATAGTAGCAGGGAAGGGTGGAGGATGGGAGCTATACTTATAATATTGGTTGGGCTAAGTATAGTAATACTTTAACATCGTGGTATTTATGTCCAAACATCATATTGGTGGGTTGGAATGTTAACTTCAAGGACAGTTTGCTGCCTCCCCCATTCATGTAAAGTATTCTATTATTGTCTGTGACAATAAGATATGTCTGTGAAATGACGACGTAAATCTGACCCAGATTCTGACAAGTCACAGTGCAAGGTGATGTTCTTGTGAAGAATGAAAATGTCCATTCTACAGTTTGCATATTGCGTTTACATAACCTCTAGAATCTCCGAAATGTATATCCGCAGTTGTTGTTTTATCCAATATCCCTGTATATTGCTAAATATTGTTTGTTTTTGAATTTCGCGCAAAGCTACACGAGGGCTATCTGCGATAGCCGTCCCTAATTTAGCAGTGTAAGACTAGAGGGAAGGTAGCTAGTCATCACCACCCACCGCCAACTCTTGGGCTACTCTTTTACCAACAAATAGTGGGATTGGCCGTCACATTATAACGCCCCACGGCTGAAAGGGCAAGCATGTTTGGTGGGACGAGGATTCGAACCCGCGACCCTCAGATTGCGAGTCGAGCGCCCTAACTACCTGGTCATGCCGGACCATAGAGGTCTATAAGTTTGTTTGTTTGTAGTTAAGCACAGAGCTACACAATGGCCACAACGGGTATCGAAACTCGTATTCTAGCGTTGTAAGTCCGCTGTGCCACTGGGGGGGGGGGGCTAGAGGTCTATAAATACTTATAGATGTTATACAGCAATTCTTTTTTTTTTATTGGGAGAAGTTATGTAATTGTTTTGAAGTTTTAACGTTACGATTTGTATTATTCTTATATTTTAAGTAATTTTTTTAATGTTATAAATTTTTAGAAAAAACAAAAATAATCTACTGGGATCTTTCTCATTTTGAGCGTTAACGTTTTTTTTTACATTTATATTTTATTTCTAAATTCACCACTTTCTTGGGGTTTCCTTTAATGCCCTTTTTCTAGATTCTATTTTATAAATTTTCTGAACGCTGAAGAATGGCTTTTAAATAATGAGTCACTACGTGGGACTTACAACACTAAAACCCGGGATTCGATTCCCTGTGGTGGACAGAGTACTAAAGATAGCTCATTGTGTAGCTTTGCGTTAAAATACAAAACAATAACATTTCAATTATGAAACGGTCTCAATTTTCGTAACCTTCAGGTTTAAGTATCTTAAAGAAACATCTGGAATGAAAATTTCACACAAGCGTACTTTCTGGTGTTAACCACGTGACATATTCTTTTCTGGTTTATATACGTATTTGTATTATACATGGTAAAGCTATCTTCTATCGTTCTTAATTTTTGAGCTAGGGAAGGCAGCTGGTTAGCAGTACCCCACCACCTACCATTCCACGCTAAGGGAAGGCAGCTGGTTAGCAGTACCCCACCACCTACCATTCCACGCTAAGGGAAGGCAGCTGGTTAGCAGTACTACCCCACCACCTACCATTCCACGCTAAGGGATTAACTAACATTCTTATAACGCTCTCATAGCTGAAATTTCTAGCCCGGCTCGCCAGCTTCGAAACCCCAAAGTTCTGCCACAGAGCCAATCAGGGTCACGTTTATACAAATAATAACCAATTTGAGAGATGGAAATTATGGTGTCAGAAAACAGTACATAATTATCATCAGAATAATGACGATCGTAGACGGTGGAAACGTTTCCAAGAAAAGCGCGAGGCCTGGAACACCTTTCTTAAAAAAAGCTTAGTACAGGATTTACCTTCTGCTCCAAAAGGTTACTTTTTATAACAATGGATAAATAAATTATTACGCCCTAATATCTTGATTTGAACTAATTAGAATTTTACGTTAATGAATACATAAATCAAATGGCATTTTACCTTTATTTTCTTTTGTTCCCCCTCCATCTCGTAGCTCAGCGATAAGTTCGAAGTTCGAACTCCTTTGGTGAGCACAGCGCAAATAACCAATTATGCATTTTTGCGCTTGAACAAAATAAACAAATAATTTTCTTTTTTTTCTGGCTCTTTCCGTAAAATAATAAATAGAACAAAGTAGCTTAAATTCAAGGCTTAGCATTTTCAGGCTGTGTGTGATGTATCACAACCACTTATGAAATTACTTGATAGCCAGACAATAACATTCCTGATAATGTACTATTGTTTTCTAACATACATTTTGGAAAATAACAGGTAAGTTTAGCCCAGCCACAAACGTTATAATATATAGCATCGACATCAAAACTAATGCTATATACATTTGAATGAGTATGGTATATAGTTAAATGGAAAACGTTATTATAAAAACACATAAACTAGAGAAAATTTTATTCAAGTGATCGAAATGAAATCTTGCAAAAACAATGACTATTTTATTTAATAAATATTTACTAGAAAAATTATATATATTAACCAAAAAAAGTATTATATTTTATAATAAAAATATCTGTTTTTCGAGAATAAACAATGGATGCACATATCATAAAGGAATTACAGAGGGAGTTCAGGTCCTGTGGTAACGATACAAGGGCGAGTGACTAAGCCTTACACTATACGGTAACGATACAAAGGTGAGTGAGTTACCCTTACAGACCACCTGTTTTACGTATTTTTCTTTGTAATGGTCCTGATTCTGAACTATTGGCCAATTTCCAATGCAAAAGAAATTTGCACTATTCATTTCGGTCTATGTTGCTCCCACTCTCTTTATATGACTTCCAAAGTCCATTAAATGTTTACGGATAGCGACTTCTGAAGCCTGAAGGCCCATTGAGTAATCCAAAAGTTCATAGGAAATATTCATGAATGGTATACCTGGAATTCTTCTTTTACTTGCATTTGGAGGAGGAACTAACACGATGACATGCATGTGTATGTGTACTGATGTTTCTTGTTCTTGATACAGCCTTACCATGATAGTATGCAGAGTTCATCTTTAAATATTTTCCCGACTCGCTAGACGTTTAACTTTATTATAGCTATAACCTGCAACCATCATAAATCTCTTGGAAGATCTTTCGCGAAATGCTCTATATCATTTTTGAAATGTTCTTTCACTGGCACAAGATGATAAACTTCTCGAACTTTTTCAAAAACGTAAGAAGACATATATATTTTGTCCAGCGTGGCAACGTTCTTTCATTTGTTATAGAACAAACACAGCTCATTGACCTTTCTGCAATGGTCTTCCATTTAGCTATTCACTTTTGGAGAAACACTTTTGTGTATTGTTTGTTAGATTAGAATACGTGTCAATTATATAATGTACATCTTCATAGGAAGATTCTTTTCCTTTGGCTGCAATTAGCAACTGTGTTCTTGAGTTACAACTATCTTCACTACCTCCGGTGTGCTACTGATTGTCGGTCGTAGAGTGACCTATTTTCACTCTGCTGGCAACACATCTTTCTTCTCCCCTTACCAATACCCGTCCAACACTACAGATAATCGTTTCTTCAAGATACTAAAATATCGGGCCTTGCATACTTTTGTAATCGTATAATAGCAAAGCATCGCAACGAAAAGTCTCGTGGTGTAACCCTTTAAGAAGGGATCAGTTTTGATTACTATCTGCATTTGAAAATCGCCATACTTCACATGAATTACAACATGAGAGCCAGGAGTTTTAAACTTTATAGTTATAGACCAGTAGAATAGCTATGAGCAAGGTGTCTGACATGTAAATGTGTTACCAAAGGTCGTGAACAACCCTCTGTGTATTATGTTCTAAACAGTTAAAAAGTGTTCCTTACTTTATATCCATGATCTTCCTCTTACGGAGAGTATCCATATTCGGGTCCAACCCCATGTCTATATCCATCATGGATGTTTTTTTCACTATACAATAAAGAAGAAACGATGAAAATCATTATTGTTTTGTCCAAAATTTTATACTTACAAAAAATAAGACATCTTCAGTATTAAAGGTATGTATGTACGATTAATAAAAGAGAGAGATACAACTTTAAAGAGTAAATTAAAATTATTATAATCTGAATGTTTAAAATACAAAGTGTTCGCAATAAATTAATTTAAGCCTAAATCAATTTTTCACACTGTGTCATGCTATGCTCTTTTAAACGCATATTTTCATCCAAATTTTGTTTTTGAGAATTACAGTGGAAAGATGTCGTTAAGTAGTCTAAGTGATCTTGTTAAAATACTAAACTCATTTGACATGCGAGAGTAAAAGTATAAATAATAAGTGTATTCAGGTAAGCATGACCTTTGCTCCAAGAACTAAAAACTTTGATATAAATTTATGCATCCTTTTATAACATCAAAATTAACGTTTGTTAAACTATTTGTGGACCAAATTACTTGCAGGTCTATGACTTTGTTGGTCCCTAATAACATACGATTCTCTCTCGCTTGTTTGTTTTGTTTGTGAATTTCGCGCAAAGCGACACGAGAGCTAACTGC